TCCTGAGCTCAAACAATCCGCCCACCTTGGCCTCCCAGAGAGCTAGGATTACAGGCGTGAGCCACCGCGCCCGGCCCACAAAAAATTTTAAAAATTAGCCTAGCATGGTGGTGTGGTTGTTGTCCCAGCTACTCAGAAGGCTGAGATGGGAAGATCCCTTGAGCCCAGGAGTTTGAGGTTACACTGAGCTATGATCGTGCCCCTGCACTCTGTCTAGCCTGGACAACAGAGGGAGACCCTATCTCTAAAGAAAACAAACAAAAAAGAAAAACCAAAATCACTCATAATGTACCAACCCAGAGGTGAGTGCAGATTGCACCTTGGTGTGGTTTTCTGACAAATGTATTTTGAGCTGGGTGTGGATTGGCCTGGGCAACTTAGCAAGACCCTGCCTCTACCAAAATATATTTTGACTTAAGTAGGACCACACTGTAGATATTGTTTTATATCTTGCCTTTTTGTTCTTCCTTTAACATTGTATTTGATTGCTTTGTCTATAATGTTAACTTTTCAGGGCTGTCCAGTCTGCCGTGTGGTTGGCCCATAATTTAACCAGTCTCTTGCTGACTCTTTAGCTGGTTTCCATTTTTAGCTCATGAGAACAGATGCCTAGGAGGATAAAACTTAAAGGAAGAAAGCTAGACCTGTGGGCTCTGTGAGTTTTTCCCAGTTATTGTGTACGTCCATATTGTACAGTGTCATGCTATTGTAGAAAGCAGTATGTGGGGGAAATTCCTCCCTCCCTCCCTCCCTCCCTTCCTTCCTTCCTTCCTTCTCTTTCTTTCTCTCTTTCTTTTTTGAAAAGGGGTCTCGCTCTGTCCCCTGAGCCCTTCCTTCCTTCCTTCCTTCCTTCTCTTTCTTTCTCTCTTTCTTTTCTGAAAAGGGGTCTCGCTCTGTCCCCTGAGCTGGAGTGCAGTGGTACCATCATAGCTCACTGCAGCCTCCAATTCCTGGACTGAAGAGATCCTCCTGCCTCAGCCTCTGGAGTAGCTGGGACTACGAGTGCACACCACCACGCCCAGCTAAGTGTTATTTTTTGTAGAGATGAGGTCTTGCTATTGCCCAGGCTGGTCTCAGACTCCTCTGGGCTCAAGCGATCCTCCTGCCTCAGCCTCCCAAAATGCTAGGATTACAGGCATGAGCCACCACACCTGGCCCTGTAGGAGGAATTTCTGAGATTGGGTCAGCGTGGTATGTTTTGAGCTGGGAGCCTTTTCCCCTTTCCTTTCTGTATTTCTGTTTTTCTGCATTTCCATTTGTTCCACCATGAACCTCTGTTACTTTCATGACAGGGGAAAATAAATTTGCATTAAACATATTTAGGCTTCTGGGTGTGCTTTTGTGTTGATTTGTTAAAAATAAATTTTTTTAAAAAAGTAAAATATACTCTTTGCAAAAAAATAGAGAAAGAGTAAAATATGAATTTCCCCCACCAAGGGATTGCTGTGGTGCCTACAGAAGCGCTCACTGCTTCTGGCTTGGAGCTGTGGTCATGCGTGGCTGAAGACACATGGGCCCTGCCTGGGAGAGCTCTAAAGTCTAGCAGGGAGACAGATATCTGGGTCTGTATCAAATCGCTAATTAACTAACAAGGTAGGATAGATGCTGCGCAGGGGGATAGCAAGAACCATCTTGTCAGGGGACCATTTGGACCCAGAGGGTCGGTATTCAGGCAGAGATAATCTAAGTATATGTGGTATTGCTGGTATCAGCACAAGACTGTTCGCAGCTTACTACGGTGATGCCTGCTCTGTGCACTTGGTAGTAAGTTCCCAGACATCTTAGGGGCCAGTTTTGGATCGTAGGCAAAAACACCAGAGTGGGTGTGGAGCCGTGATGGGCAGAGCATCTGCGTCTCCACTGGCCATCTCACCCTCTCCGTCCTCTGTCTTGGTTCCAGAATTGCGAACACCCACAATTCTTCCTGTGTTTCCAACAAGTTTGCCAACGACGGTAGCTTCTTGCAGCAGTTTCTGAAGTTGCAGAAGGCACAGACAAGCACAGGTGAGTGTAGCCACTCCCTTCCCTTGCGCTGCCCTTGCATATCCTGCTGGGGATCGCTGGGTACGTTGGAAGTGACAGATCCCTCCCGCCTTGAGATAGTTGAGCACTCTTGTTCTGCCCATCCCCGCACCAAATACCAAGAGGGCAAGCGCAGACCCCCCTCATGGTGCTTACCCCGTAGAAGCAGATGCAGACGACAAATTTCAGTCCAGGGGGTCGGGGCCATGATCGAGCCCTCTTCAGGGCTGTGGGACCCCCCCCAAGTGGGTAGGTGAGGGTGAGGCCAACCTGGGGAAAGGGGAGGATGTGGGGGTGGTGTCTCCTAGCTGGGTCAGCCTGAGCCCACCAGCAGGGGAGAGCGGGCCTTCTGCAGACAGTGTCTGCACAGGCGCCAGGCTGGCCTAAGACACGCAAGCTGTGTCAGAGGATAGCAGGTTCCAAGGCCTTCTGTGGTGGAAGTGCAGGGTGGGCGGGTGGCCTGGAGGTGGCCATGGGTACCCAACGATTATCACAGGGGCACTCGAATTTATTGAGTACCACCCTTGTGCCAGGGAATGCAGACACTTGGCTCCTGCCACGTCCCGGGCGCTGTACAGGCAGGCAGTGCCTGTCCTCTTGCTGAATCCTCCAGAGGGATGCTTGTCCCTGCCTCTGTGTTTCTCTCTGAAAGACACTTGACAGTACACGTAGCATTGTCTCCACTCGGAATTTATGATACGACATTTGTCATTTATATTTATCTTTTTTATTTAACAACGAAAAACACCACAGGAAGTGGAAGTCCTTCTCTTCCCCCGTCTTATAGGAAACCACTGTCAACAAATTGTCGTGTTCTGACAGCCCTGTTGTCATCCTCTCACTCGAGGAGTATGTGGCATTATTTCAGACGTTTGACCATTTGCACAGAAGATGACATTTCTTGTGCATTTCTTGTTTTGTTCCATGCCTTTTTTTTCTCTACTTGACATAATATGTTTTAGATCTAGACAGTACATGTAAATCTCCTTTGTTGAATTCAACTTTCGTAAGCAGCTAGTTATCAATCCCTCTTTCCATTGAGGAAACTGAGGCTTGGAAAGACAAAGCCGTAAGTGCAGAGCTAGCCTGTGACACAAGCAGTGGGCCGGGTCTCGAGGTCGGGGCAGGGGGCTGCTATTCCACGGCGCTGCTCCCCGCTGGACCAGCAGGCACCGCTCCCATCAACACCCACCTCGCATCTAGCTGTGAGCGCTCCCACACTGTGGGTTCTTGAGGCGACTTGGGCTTGGGTTAGAGTGGCTGTTCTCCGGGTCTTCTGGACCTGGCTCTGCTGTCAGCAACCCAGGGGAGTCCCCAGCCCTCCCCACTGGGTGGCAACCCTCGTGCAAGGATTGGGACCCTGTCTAGGTCAGGGGCAGCCTGGCTCACAGACACGGCGGGACACACCAGGTGTGGGAATCACAGACCGACGGAAACCGGTCTGTGTCAGCGGCCCTGCGGTTCAAGTGCACTGTTGCTGTGGACACTGCTGGTGAGATAGGCGGTCTTCGGCCTTCATTGGATTTCCTAGGCAACGGCGAGGAAGAGTTAAAGCAAGGCCAGATTCGTCCACACAGAGTGAGAAAGGGTGGTTTGAGTCCTTTGCCGGCCGGGTGTCAGGCCGAGAACATCCAACAGGCTGGCTCTGGCCAGGCAGCCTCACCACAGACCATCAAGGGAAGGGTTGTAAGGCAGGATTCGAGGGCCCAGGTCTTGTCCAGAAGAGCCGACATGTCGCTGGGCCGTGGGTGCAGCATGGTCGAGGTGCCTGCGGAGCCCCATGCTTGTCTTGTGTGGCTGTGGGACCGTAAGTCATTCCTCTTTGAGCTTCTGTGTCACCACCTGTAAGAGGAGGGTTGCCTTGTCTCTGAGCGCTAGAAGCCAAAGACCCAGCCCCCTGGGGCCCACAGCACTTGGGTTTGGTGGGAAACGGGGAGATGTGCCCAGCAGACCCTGAGGTCCTGTATCCTTCCTTCTATCCCAGATGCGCCCCCCAGCGCAGCCAGCGCCCCTCCCAGCACGCCCGCCCCCAGCACCGGGAAGAGGCCCTTCCTCATCAGCAAGCGGACGGGCCTGGGGCTGGGCAGCGCGCTGGGCCAGGTGAAGAACTACTCACACGCCAAGCAGCTGCCCGTGGCACACCGCCCAAGCGTCTTCCAGTCCCCCGACGAGGACGAGGAGGAGGACTACGAGCAGTGGCTGGAGATCAAAGGTGAGTTGCGGGGGGTACTACCCCTCCTTCCACCAGCTGATCCCCGGTCAGTGGGGCAAGCGCAGCTGGGGTGTGGAGCACTTGGGATTGAGGTTGGGGCCTCCAGGCCTTGGGGCTGAGCCTTGGGCCCCTGAGGTGAGCAGAGCAAAGGAGGGTGCGGGGAAGGGCCTGGGGAGCAGCCTCGGGAAGGTCCCCAGGCATCAGAGCATGGGCTCCATCCTGGGAGCAGCGGGAACCATTGTCCACTCACGTGGCTCGTCCCTAGCCTGGGCATGGGCATGTGGCCCCTCTAAAGAAGCGTTCCCTCGGGAAGGGCAGCCTTGTGTCCCTTCTTGTTAGCCAGGCGGGGAGGAGTGTCTGAGGCTCCCCTGCCTGGGCAAACACCCCCTAGCGCTCAAGGCTCCAGAGCGCCGCTCTTCACTGTGGGGCTCTTCACTGTGGGTGACGTGTCCCCACCAGCGTAGGCCAGAGGCACGAGTGCAGATTGGAGGGCTCTCTCTCCTGCCCTGGGGAAGGACAGGCCTGGTGTCAGGGGAGCTTGTCCAGTCCCCGAGGCATAGGAGGGTGGGGGGCAGGGGCAGCATTCCTGGCGAGTCCAGCCCCATCCACGTTCAGAATGGGACGGCGACACCTGTGCCACGCGGAGGGCTGGCCGACACAGTCTTGTCACCTGACAGCAAGGACAGGCTGAAGTGACCATGTAGTTGTGCTGTGACAGCTTTGAGACCCCTAGTTCTGAATGAGATCTGGCTCTGTCTGAGCAGATCCGGGGCCAGAATGGAGCTGGGCAGGGTCCTTTCCTTGGGAGGTGCTCTGGCAGCTCCAGCAATGCCTGCCAGGAGCTGCTGCTTTACAGGGGGTCATGGTCCGCGAGGCCTGTTATGGTCTGCTGGCCACGTGCCTCAGTGACGCACCTGTTCTGTAAACAGCGGCCAGGTTGGGCTTGTTGCTGGAAACGTGGGAGGAGGGTGAGGCCGGGGAGAGGTGGGTATGGGATGCCCCTGGTATCTCACAAGGCCCTCCTCGGGCCACATTTCCGCCTGACACCCTGTGCTTCCCAGGAGCCCAGGCAACAAGGGGAATACGGCTAGCCACAGGTCTGGCATCTAAGCCCAGTTGCCAGGCGCTGGCTGCCAGTGTGAAATTCCTCCTGCAAGTCTCATAAAAGCCACGTGATCCATATAGTGGCTGACAGACTCGCAGGCTCAGAAACAGGCCAGTGAAAAATGCAAAAGCAAGTTCCATGTGGCTTGAAGGGGAAGCTAATCCATATATAAAAATATATTTTTATAGCTCTGTTCACTGAAAAGGCCCCAAGATAATGATTAAGCCCGTTGCAGTGAACATCCCTAGCGCCCAGATGGTGGTCTGGAGACACAGTTTCTCACTAACGGGAACCAGGACTTCTTGGAGAAATGGCTGGCTCTGGGTCGGGGCAGGAAGTGTATGAGATGATCCTGGAGCGCCCTGTCCCAGCAGATGGCAAGGAGGCCGTCAGAGACTTCCTGGGGTCATGTCCAAAGCTCTCAGGAGCGAGCTTGAAGAGGCTCCACCGGCCACAGAGCTTCTGTGATGACATTAATTGCCTCGGATTGAAAGCCCACCCAATGTGTTTAAATCAGAGTTCGTAATGATATTTTTAAAAACGAATGTGTCATCTTTGAAGGATGAAAGGGAACCGATGTATTATACCGAAAACTGGTAAATAAAGAAAAGAATTAAACATTCCCCTCCCCAAAAAACCAGAGGAGGCTGGATGTGTTTTCCACCGGGTTCCCGCCTGGGGCCCACCACGGCCTCGCTTCTCTCCTGCCCAGTGTGTCTCACAGAGACAGTTGAGACTGAACCCCCTCGGCATGGTGTGCTTTGTGCCTGGACCCGGGACGCCCAACAACCTCCTGCATCTCACGCTCTTCTCCCCCCACCCCTGTCGTTGTGGTCCGTAGAGAGAGTGTGCCTATTGACTGTGGGGTGTGTGAGTTGAACCCCAGTACTGACAGCCTCCTTAAAGTTTCACCCCCAGAGGGAGCCGAGACTCGGAAAGTGATAGAGAAATTGGCCCGCTTTGTGGCAGAAGGAGGCCCCGAGTTAGAAAAAGTAGCTATGGAGGACTACAAGGATAACCCAGCGTTTTCGTAAGTATCTCCGGGAGCGGGAGGGCCTCAGCCGTTTAACCCGTTTGCTGCACGGCCGTACATGCGGGTGTGCTCGAGAACTCATTGTGACTAGGGCTCGGTGTTTGCACTCACGTGCCGATGCTGCCCCAGGTGCTCTCCGATGCACCCCAGAGGTGGCGAGGGGCTCCTGTGGGGCACGGAGACTTGCTCTTGGGTCCTGTCCAGCATCTCTGCTTGCCAGCCTGCTTTTGCACGACAGAAGCCGCTCGGTTGCATCCGCTGTTGCATCCGCCAGAGACGCTCATCTTCCCCTGTCTTTTGCAAACTTCCCCCCTGCAGATTTTTGCACGATAAGAATAGCAGGGAATTCCTCTACTACAGAAAGAAGGTGGCTGAGATAAGAAAGGAAGCACAGAAGTCGCAGGCAGCCTCTCAGAAAGGTAGGTGGACAGTGGGGGCAGGGGGCTCTGGGGGAGGCATGCAGACATACCATGCCCCCATGTGGAATCGGGGGGTTCCTGGAGGCCACAGTGGGATGGGGTGGGGTGCAGTGGCAACCCGGTCAAGGCCTGTGCCCTCCAAGGCAGCTGGGGTCACCCTGCAGATGGGGCTGTCGCTACCCTCCCTGCCAGTGCTCTGAGGACTGGGTGAAGTGTGAGTGACAGGCCTCGCGCGTGGGTGCTCTGGGTGCATTAAGGTCACATCCAGGGGATCAACTCCCTGCATGTAAACAGGGCACGCTTGCTTGTTGGTTCGTTGTTATTTTAAGAAGTGTTAATGAGCCCCAGCTTCACACTGGGCACTAAAGACACAGCTAGATGAGTGTAGTGCCTGACCCTAGGGGAGGAGGGCCAAGGGACAGACACAGCTGGGGAGATTCCAGTGGGATGAATTTTGGGGGAGCGGGGAGGTGCTGGCCGGTCTGCAGCTGGAATGACGTAAAATGCCAGCCGGGAGCTGGTGGGCAGTGCGGGGATTGATGCTTGGGCCCAGCGTGGGCCACAGAACTCTGTTCATTGTGTCTCCTACAGCCCTTTGCCCTGAACCTCTCCCGGGAGAGGAGGGCTACCCTCCCCCCCATGACAGACAGGAATAACCCCTAGCAGAAAAACTCAGGCAGAGGCTCCCATCTCCCCTCCTGCCCAGCCCAGACCTGCCTACACGTCCTCATCCCTCCCAGTTCAAGTCCAAGGCCCAGGAGACCGACAGGGTGGGAGGGGTGGGCATGGGGCTTGAGCTGTGCTGTAATGTAATGTTAACTCTGGCGTTCGGTCCCAGTGCAGTAATCTGATTCCCATTTGCCTGTTTCTCTTTGCATCGTTCCTAAACTAAATCCCACTTCTTGCCTGTGGGGTTCTTAGCAGAAATTAGGCTGTTGGGTGTGGTGAGTTGAGCCCAGTACTGACAGCCTGCTTAAAGTTTCACCCCCAGAGGATGAAGAGGCCAAGAACCTTGCAGAAAAGTTGGCCAGGTTCATAGCAGACGGGGGTCCCGAGGTGGAAACTATCGCCCTCCAGAACAACCGCGAGAACCAGGCCTTCAGGTAAGGGGGGGCCCGCCAGAGAGGTGACCCAAGCCCTGGCCACGGCCCCCCTGCAGATGAGGAAATGGGGCCCAGCATGGTTCAGCCACCCGCTAGGGTCCCACACCGAGAAGCTGGCAGGGCCGAGACTCGAATCTGGGATTTTCTGCCCCCTGAGGACACCCCCCACAGGCATTTCCCAAGCACACATCAGTACCCTCGCAAGGTCTCCGAGGCAGGCACGGGGGCCTCTGGGGCCTTTGTGACACAGCAGCGCCTGGCTGGGGCAGGCCGGGGTCTCCGGTGGAAACTCACAGAGCTGTTTATTCCATGTGCATTCTCGGGGTCTCCCCTTTATGACCAGGGGAGTGGCAGGGACTGTGGGATCTCGGGATCTCAGAGGGGGATCCCCCAGCTTTTGTGCAGGTTCTACAGTAAGGCTGGTGAGTGACAAGCAGCCCAGCCTCCCTGCTGTCCCTGGCCATGCACATGGTGATACCCCATCCCTCAGGCTGGGTCTGTGTTCACTGGCTCATTCATTCAACAGGCGGGTTCGGCGTCCACTCTGCTGGGGGAGGCTGGTGGGTGCCTGGGGGCTGTGGCTGCTGCAGGGCAGTGGCCGGCAGAGTCGTGCTTGGGAGGCGGATAGGATACTGAGCACAGCGTGGGGGCGATGCCTGTGCGAGGACGTTTTCGGGCCCATGTAACACAATTCCCAACTCAGTGAGGAGACATCATGGCACGTAACAAAAAGTACAGGAACAACAGAGTCTGGGCTGGTTGGCTCAGCAACTTTAAGCGTCACAGGGATGACGTCACGGAGGGTGGGCAGACGTGGCCAGGCCAGGGCCAGGCAGATTGGGGCAGTGGGCAGCCACCAGGAGGTGGAGCTGATGGCATGTGGGGGCTGGGACAGGGAGAGGGCTCTTCGTGGGGGCTCAGGTGTGTCTGAGTCTGGTACCTGGGTGGCCTGGAGGCCTCACAGGGCCCTTGGAATATGTGGGTCTGGAGGTCAGGAGGGGGATCTGCCTGGGCCGTGAGGCCCTCCCTGGACATCTGGAATCCCAGGCTTGCCCTGATAACTGTCGAGCTGTGGGATATAACTCTGTGCCACCCAAACCAATGTTGAGTTAATAGTCTGCTCTAAGTCACTGCATCTTTTCTTCATTTACCTAGTTATAGTTATTTAGTTAATAATGCTGAACACAGTAAGAAGCATAGTTTAATTTAGCCACTGTAGGTAGACACTGACTGGAATGCCATTGCAGGAAAAGCAGATGAGGTTATGGAATTCCATTCCAGGCCTCATGCCCAGGCAGCCCTGCTGGGTCAGAGGGGGCCAGGGCCCAGCAGCTCTGGCCCAGCCTTTCCCCAATGTCAGAACTGAGATGTTGGTGCAGGCAGCTCCAAGTTCTCCTGTTTGTCCCTCCTCTTGCCCAGGGGATGTTGTTGGTGGATGCCAGCTGGGTAGGTGTGGCTGGGCTGGGGGAGGTTGCCAGGAGTGGGTGCCCGGGGTGGCCAGAGGAGAAGCGGGGAAGGGACCTCCAACCCAGGCTTACCAGTGAGGCCAGGGCCAGACTGGGAAAGAACTGGGAGGGGCAATCAGGTATCCAGGCCCTAGCAGGGTGTGCAGGTTTGTACCAAGCAAACTGTTTAATCTTCACGTGGGGTCAACCCTGAAGCACAGAAATGCCAGACGGACACGTGTGGTTGGCAGTGCCTTCCCTCAGCCCCAAATCTAATAGCCACTTCATGTTCTGCTGCTCAGGCTTATTCCTGTCCCTGATTTCCTCACGTGGGTCGGGCACTCCCTGGTGGCTTTGGGAACCAGTTCGTAACAACTCCATGGTTGTAAAGAAGCTGGGAACAGCCAGTCCTTCAACCAGTCACCCTCCGCCTTCTGAGATGCGTCCCCAGAAATGATGTTAGATACAGCCTCAGCCATAGTAGTGAAAAAAATCAGTAACAAATTGAATGTCCAACCTCAGGGGGCTAAACTCTGTAAATGCATCTCCCCAGTGGAATACACAGCCATTGGAAGGCACCCGCATGATCCAGCAACCAGCATGCTGGTCCTTAGGGGTGAGGAAACCGAGCATGGCTTCGCTGTTGTAACGGGAAAGGCTCGTGTTGTTGGGTTAAATAAGGAATTTTTTTAAAAAATCAGGTCGCGTACAATAAGATCACAGCTCTGTTCAGATAAATCTGCGCTGAAAAAAACACTGGAAGGAGAGACCCCAAAGTGTTAACAGTGGTTATCCCTGGACTCAGGATGGGATTAATCCTACTAGAGGGGAGTCCCCTGCATGTGATTGCACCCAAGCCCTGTGCTAGGTGGGGGATTCTGCCCACCCTCGCCCCCATAGGCCCACTGTTGGGTGGCCACTGTTACCCCCTCCCAGGTGGGCAGACCCTCTGGGAGGGTCTCTGATGCAGCCTGGAGGCAGCTGGGATGATACCCAGCATGAGCCAGAGGAGCCCCACCCCTTCCCCACCTACTTGGGCAGGCGAATCCCCCCAGCTTGGTTTTAAATCCATGTCTGAACTCTCCTGGCGATTGGATGTCTTTTTCAAATCTGGCCAAGTGCTCCCTTCCCTCTTGAACAGTTCCTTGCTTTTATGTCACCTGGCCGTGCTTGTACCATGACCCAGGAAAACAAGGAAGTTGCCGCCATCTCCCCGTCTCCCCTCCCCACATTCCCGAAGTACCAGATGTTAGCGGGGCTGGAGACACAGAGGCTCACACAGGCACACAGAAGCAATGGGTTCTCTTGCTGCTGTCATATACAAAAGGAGTGCACAGCACCTTGACCCTACACTTTCCTTTTTATTTATTTATGTTTTTTAGAGATAGTCTTGCTCTGTTGCCCAGGCTAGAGTATAGTGGCATCATCACAGCTCACTGCAACCTCAAACTCCTGGGCTCAAGCGATTCTCCTGCCTCAGCCTCTTGAAGAGCTGGGACTACAGGCGCCACCATGCCTGGCTTATTTTTCTATTTTTAGTAGAGACGAGGTCTTGTTCTTGCTCAGGCTGGTCTCAAGCGATCCTCCTACCTCAGCCCTCCTGGAGTGCTAGGATTACAGGCGTGAGCTACCGCGCCCGGCCCACACTTTGCTTTAGTAGCACAATATTGTGCTATGACTGTCCCTCCAGATTCATAAGTGCAGGTCTGCCTCCTTGTGCAGGGCTGTGCGACACGGGCTGTGCACACACTGAGGTCTCCCAGCGTTTTGCCGCGTGCAGCTGGGCCTGACTGCCCTCTGGCATGGACCCCAGAGGCAGGACTGCTGGCTCAGGATATGTATAGTTTGAGAGATACCAGCAGGTGCGGAACCCAGCTCTGGACTCAGTGCCACCTGCTCTGCCCTGAGGCTGCCTGCCCTGAGGTATAGGTGGAACCTAGCTCACCGGTCTCAGTGTCTGTTTTGGCTCCGTCTGCTGTTAACCCTCTTGGGGATGAGTTGGAGAAGCTGTCAGGTTTGGGACAGGTCGGCTACGCCCTTTCCGGTGTCTCCCCACAATTCAGGACTTTACTGTGTGAAGGCCCTACTTTTCTTAGGAATCTGGGGAGGGCATGAGGGCATCTGCCCCTTTCCCTTCAAAGCAGGGGGATTAATGACAGTGTGGTGGCACCTGGTGAAGACTGGGATGGGGATTGGAGTGGCCCACAGCTCAAAGGAAGGACATCACAAGAGCCTGTGCGCACATCACACTGCTCCTCTTCAAGAGCCAGCAGCCACTGAGGTCTAGAAGGCCAGGTCATTGTGGAGACCGTGCCCCTGGCCAACGTGGGCGTACAAGGCCTGAGCTGTGCCTGCCTGGAATCAGGGACAGGGGCTCAGGCCCCGCTGACGGCGTACCCCCCAACTCTCCTTTGCAGCTTTCTGTATGAACCCAACAGCCAAGGGTACAAGTACTACCGGCAGCAGCTGGAGGAGTTCCGGAAAGCCAAGGCCGGCTCCATGGGCACCCTCACGGCACCTGACCCCAGCCTGAAGCACAAGTCCCCTCCTGAGGCCCTGTCAGGGTCCTTGCCCCCGGCCACCACCTGCCCTGCCTCATCCACCCCTGTGCCTGCCGTCACCCCTTCTCCAGCCGCCCCCGGGAAGCCAGCCTCCGCAGCCACTGTGAAGAGGAAGCGGAAGAGCCGGTGGGGGCCCGAAGAGGACAAGGTGGAGCTGCCACCTGCTGAGCTGGTGCAGAAGGACGTGGACGCCTCTCCCTCACCTCTGTCAGGTGGGCTCACCCTTTTAACGTGCTGGCGAGTTTGGTTGCCTAGCATTTTGTTGAAGATTTCTGCATCTATGTTCATAAGGAGTATTGGTCTATATTTTCCTTTTCTCGTAATGTCTTTGTGTCTTGCTTTGGCATCACAGCAATACTAGCCTCATAGATAAATTTGGGAATGTTCTCTCTTTGGGTTTTTGGAAGCATTTTAGAAGAATTCGTGTTTTCTTCCTTTAAACGTTTGCTAGACTTGACCGGTGAAGCCATCTGATTCTGGGCTTTTCTTTGTTGGGAGGTTTTTGATTACTGATGCGATCTCCTCACTTGGTATAACTCTATTCAGATTTTTCATTTCTTCTCGAGTTAGTTTTGGTAGTTTCTATGTTTCTAGGAATTTGTCTACTTCTTCTAGGATATCTAATTTGTTGGTGCACAGTTCTGAGTATTTTCTTATGGTTTTATTTATATTTCATTTTTAGTCATGAATAACAGTACTAGCTCCCCTTTGATTTCTGGGTTTTTTTTTTTTTTTTGAGACAGAGTCTCACTCTACTGCCCTGAGTAGAGTGCCGTGGCGTCATCCTAGGTCACAGCAACCTCAAACTCCTGGGCTCAAGCGATCCTCCTGCCTCAGCCTCCCGAGTAGCTGGGACTACAGGCATGCGCCACCATGCCCGACTAATTTTTTCTATATATTTTTAGTTGTCCAATTAATTTCTTTCTAATTTTAGTAGAGACGGGGTCTCGCTCTTGCTCAGGCTGGTTTCGAACTCCTGAGCTCAAACAATCCGCCCGCCTCGGCCTCCCAGAGAGCTAGGATTACAGGTGTGAGCCACCGCGCCCGGCCTATTTCTGGTTTTAGTAGCTGTGTATTCTCTCATTTTCTCTTAGGCTATCTGCACCTTGTCAATTTTGTTGATGTTTTTCTGAAGAACCAACTTTTGGTTTCATTGATTTTTTTTTTTTTTTTTCTCTATTTGTGTTCCCTATTTCATTTGTCTCCATTCTAGTCTTTATTATTTCCTTTCTTCTGCCAGTGGCTTTAGTTTGCTCTTTTTCTAGTTCATTAGAGTGTATAGTTAGGTTATTGATTTTAGATCTTCTTTCTTAATACATGCATTTACAGCTGTAAGTTTTCCTGTTAGCACTGCTTTTGCCGCATTTTATAAGTTTTGGTGTGTTAGACCAGGCACAGTGGCTCACATCTGTGATATAGTACTTTTAGAAGATGAGATGGGAGGATCCCTTGAGGCCAGCAGTTCAAGACCAGCCTGGGCAACACAGCAAGAGCCCATCTCTACAAAAAATTAAAAAAAAAAATTAGCCAGTATTGTGGCACACGTCTGTGGTCTCAGCTACTTGAGAGGCTGAGGCAGGAGGATCGCTTGATCCTAGGAGTTGGAGGCTGCACTAAGCTATGATGATGCCACTGCACTCCAGCCTAGGTGACAAAAGCAAGACCCTTTCTTCAAAAAAAAAAAAAAATTTGGTATGTTATAATTTCATTTTCATTCCTCTCTAAATATATTCTAATTTCTCTTGTGATTTTGTCTTTAATCCAATGGTTGTTAAAGAGTGTGTTCTTTAATTTCTACATATTTGTGAATTTTCTAATTTTCCTTGTTACTGATTTCTGGTTTCAGTTCATTGTGATGGGAAAAGATTTGATGTGATTTCACACTTTTTAAGTGTATTAAAACTTGTTCTGTAGGCTAAATGGTCTATCTTGAAGAATGTTCCATGTGCTCTTGAGAAGGCTGTGCATGCTGCTATTGAGTTCCATATTCTGTATACATGTCTGTTAAGTCTAGTTGGTTTGCGGTGCTGTTCAGTCCTCTGTGTCCTTACTGACGCTTAGTCCAGGTGTGCTGTCCCTTGCTGACAGTTTGGCGTTGACATCTCCAGCTATCACTGTGCAACTGTCTGTTTCTCCCTTCAGGTCTGTCAGTTCTTGCTGTACGTGTCTTGCAGGCTCTGTTGTCAGGTTTGTGTACATTTATAATTGTTATATCTTCTTTCTGTATCAAACCTTTTATCAACATATGATGTTCGTATTTGTCTCAGTAACTTTTTTTGCCTTAAGATCTGTTTTGTCTGATACTAGTATAGCTATCCCGGCTCTCATGGAGAGAGCATGGAGTATCCTTTCCCATCCTTTCTCTTTCAGCCTGCGGTCATGTGCTGTGTGACAACATTTCGGTTAACAATGGACCACACATAATGATGGTGGTCACATAAGATTATAATACCTTATTTTTACTGTACCTTTTCTCTATTCAGTTATGTATATAATTTTTTTTTTGAGACAGAGTCTTACTCTGTCACCTGGGTGAGAGTACAGTGGCATCATTACAGCTCACTACAACCTCAAACTCCTAAGGGACTTTTTCTTCCTTATGATTTTCTTTTTTTTGGGGGGACAGAGTCTCACTCTGTTGCCCAGGCTAGAGTGCCATGGCGTCAGCCTAGCTCACAGCAACCTCAAACTCCTGGGCTCAAGCGATCCTCCTGCCTCAGCCTCCGAAGTAGCTGAGACTACAGGCATGCACCACCATGCCCAGCTAATTTTTTCTATATATTTTTGGCTGTCTAGATAATTTCTTTTTATTTTTTTTGTAGAGACGGGGTCTCGCTCTTGCTCAGGCTGGTCTCGAACTCCTAAGCTCAAGCGATCCTCCCACCTCGGCCTCCTAGAGTGCTAGGATTACAGGTGTGAGCCACCACACCCGGCCTTATGATTTTCTTTAATAACATTTTTGTCTCTAACTTACTTTGAGGATACAGTACATAATACATATAACTAGGCAACAAACCTTTACAGCACGTTACTTACTGTACTGTACATTGACAATCCTTCCCATAGACTACCGTGTGCAAATGAGCCTTGAATGTTCTTATGACGCCGTGATCTAGAGGCTTGATTAGAGACAGTGTGTTTGGAGGCAAGTAGACTGCTTTGAACTCGGGTTCTGGGTGGCCAAGGGCATGGTCCAATATCAAAAGAACTTTAAGAGGCAGTCCCTTAAACTCAAGCAATCCTCCTGCCTCAACCTCCTGAGTAGCTGGGACTATATGTATATACTGCCATACCCAGCTAATTTTTTCTATTTTTTTTTAGTAGAGACAGGGTCTCACTTTTGCTCAGGCTGGTCTTGAACTCCTGAGCTCAAGCGATCCTCTTGCCTGGGCCTCCCAGAGTGCTAGGATTATAGATGTGAGCCACGGTGTCTGGCCTGTTTAGATACATTTAGGTACACAAATACTTACTATTGTGTTACAATTGCCTGTAGTATTCAGAACAGTAACGTGCTGTAAAGGTTTGCTGCCTAGTTATATGTTTTATATACTGTATCCTTGAAGTAAGCTAGAGATAAAAACGTTATTAAGGAAAATGTCATTAAGAAAATCAAAGGAAGACAAAGTGTATTTACTGTTCATTACTTGGAAGTGGATCATCATAAAGGTCTTCATCCCCCTGGTGTTCACACTGAGTAGGCTGAGGAGGAGGAGGGAGAGGAGGGGTTGGTTTTGCTGTCTCAGGGCTGGCAAAGGCAGAAGCGGTGAAGGAGGTAGAAGGGAAGGCCGGTGCACTTGGTGTAACTTTACGGAAATACATTGGAATTTCTGTCTGACTTTCTTGCTTTTTCATTCCTCTAAAAAATGTTTTTATGTGGTGTTTTAGAACGTTGTTTCAGAAAAAGCTGTGAAAGCCATCAAGCTTTCTTCCCCCATTTGCTTTAGGTTCAGTGCCATGTCTTGGAAGGATCCACGTTGTGAAGGACATCAACCCAGTCTCGAATAATCTTCTGCGGGATTGTGTAATGTCGATTTGTTTTCTGGCACTGCTTTTTCTACGTCCTCTTCCTCATCTGGCACCGTTCGGAAGCACTCGTCTCCACCAGTCGTCTTCTGTTAGTTCCTCTGCTGTGGTGTCTATTAGCTCTTGAGTTTCTCCAAGATCCGTATCTTGAAGCCCTTCCCTCCTTCCCTTTTTTGCCATCTCCACAATCTCTTTCATGATTTCCTTGACTGACATCCTGGGAAGTCACGCACAACATCTGGACGCAGTTTTCTCCAGCAGGCATTTATTGTTTTGGTCTTGATGGCTTCCACAGCTTTTTCTGTAACAACAGTGGCATCTTCAATGGTGTAATCCTTCCAGACTTTCATGATGTTCTTTCTAGTGGGGTTCTCTTCCACAGCGTCGACAATCCTTCCCGTAGACTACTGTGTTCACGTGATGAGCCTTGAACGTTCTTACGACACCTTGATCTAGAGGCTTGATTAGACACAGTGTGTTTGGAGGCGAGTAGACCGCTTTGAACTCATGGGTTCTGGGCAGCCAAGGGCATGGTCCAATATCAAAAGAACTTTAAGAGGCAGTCCCTTACTGGCAAGGTACTTCCTGACTTAAGGCCAAGGCACTGATGAAACCAATCTGGAAAAAGGGTTCTCACTGCCCAGGCCTCCTTGTTATACAACCAGAAGACTGGCAGCTGGTGTTTATCTTTTCCTTTCATGGCCCAGGGCATAGCAGCTTTATAGACGAGAAGTCCTGATCGTAAACGCAGCTGCGTCTGCGCCGTAGCAATGGCGTCTGCCTGTCCCACCTGCCTCAGTCCTTGCACTCGCTTTTCTTCTTATCAACAAACGTCCTTCGCGGCATTTTTTTCCAGCATTTTATCTGCATTAACAACCTGTTCAGGCAGATACCTTTTTTCCCTTGATGATTTTCTTTTTTTTTTTTTTTTTTTTGAGACAGAGTCTCACTGTGTTGCCCAGGCTAGAGTGAGTGCCATGGCATCATCCTCGCTCACAGCAACCTGAAACTCCTGGGCTCAAGCAATCCTCCTGCCTCAGCCTCCCGAATAGCTGGGACTACAGGCATGCGCCACCATGCCCGGCTATTTTTTTTTTCTATATATTTTTAGTTGTCCAATTAATTTCTTTCTATTTTTAGTAGAGATGGGGTCTCGCTCTTGCTCAGGCTGGTTTCGAACTCCTGAGCTCAAACAATCCGCCCGCCTCGGCCTCCCAGAGAGCTAGGATTATAGGCGTGAGCCACCGCTCCCGGCCCCCTTGATGATTTTCTTAATGGCACCTGGGAACTCATCTGCTGCCTCTTGGTTGGCAGCAGCCGCTTCTCCTGTTATCTTGACATTTTAAAATCCAAACCTCTTTGTGAAATTATCAAACTATCCTTTGCTGACATTAAATTCTCCAGCTTTAGATCCTTCACCTTCCTTTTGCTTTTAAGTTGTCATATAACGACTTCACCTGTTCTCAAATCATATTAGAGTCTATAGGTATGCCTTTCTCATAGCAATCCTGCACCCACATAAAAGCTGCATTTTCAAAAGGAGATAAAAAGGTTTTTCGCAAGAAGTGCAAGGTTTTACACCTGCTGGCATAGCTGCAGAGACAGCTTCATGAATTTAGGTTTTTTTTTTAAACAGTGATCCTTATGCCCAATTCATTTATCTTAAAATGGTGGGTGACCACAGCTGCAGACCCCGGTCTACAGTACCTGTCGGGCAGTTCAACTTTTTCTTAGGACATCCATTTTCACTGCTGCTTGGCAGCCCTTCTAGCGTCATTAGTGGTGCCTCGTGTCGGTCCCATGTTGTTATTCAAGGTTTAGAGTGTTACACTAAATGCAATGAAAAATATGTGAGAACTGCAAGAGATCACTCTTTCTGCCACATGTAGTTTCCTAGAAAGGTGAGCTGCCCACACACACAGATGACTGCGTTACGTGGTGTTTTAAGCCAATGCTTGAGACAACTTGAGCTCGCTACAATAGCAACAGGAGGTGGCTACAAAATTATCGGAGTAGTACAGTATATGCTACAGTTAATTTGATGCGGTCATGGTTTAATACCGCATCTTTATGTTTGTTTACATTTCTCTCAACCAAATGGTGCTGTGTACAGTCTGTGTTCATCAGCTTTGATAAATTTTAACTTTTTATAATAGATTTGTTTTATGGTAGTAAGTGATAAAATAGACTAGTATCTGTGTATATTTTATGCATTCACAACATAACTTTTTCTTAATTTTTTCAACATTTCTAGGCTACACAGTTCATATGCACATTTTTTGGAATTGTTGCAAATCTCCAAAATATTTCCCAATATATTATTGATTGAAAAATACCCATGTATAAGTGGACCCATGCAGTTCACACCTGTGTTGTCCAAGGGTCAGCTGTACCGTGTAGCCTAGGTGTGTAGGAGGCTGTACCCTCTAGATTTGTGTAAGTATGGCCTTTCATGTTCACGTGACGAAATTGCGTAAGGATGCATTTCTTGGAAGGATCCCCTTCATTAAGTTACTGTATTTGTGTCTTTGGATCTTTTTTTGTTTGTTTGTTTTTGTTTTGAGGTTGCAGTGAGCTATCATGATGCCACTGCACTCTAGCCTGGGGTATCTTTGGATCTGAATGAAATGAGTCTCCTGCAAAGAGCATAAGAATGGATCCTGCTACCTGCCTTAAACCTTAAAGTACTTGGATTCTTTCTTACCAGAGAAAGCTCAGGAAGCACACGATGATAAGCATAATAATCGCCACAATTTTGCGCAATCACCTGTCACCTCTCCCTCCTTGAGAGCAGTTTCAGGGACGGTCAGCATGTGGCCTGGTCTCTGTTTCCTACCGCAAGCCCACAATGGTGGGGGGTGTGGTCTCTCTCGTTACCACATTCTACAGATGACAGGCAGTGACGCAGAGCGGCCATCTCATGCCATCTGGCTCTCCCCTGCGCTGGGGGCAGAAACATCTCCCCACCCCAACCCCCGCTTCGCCAGAGCTTGACACACAGGTGCACGGACAGCTTGGCACTATCGCCTGCCATTGCAAGAGAAGGACGGGACTCCGAGGGAAGGCAGCTCACCCAGGTCCCGTGGCTAGCTTCTTGGCCACCTCTGAGGACGGTTTCTTGCTCAGTTCTTCCCTGGCCCCAGGAGCTTCAGAGATTCTCGGTTGAGGAGAAAAGCTACTGAACGAGGATCTAGTACTTGCTGAGGCTGCGGGTGCCTAGGATCGGTTGGCCATGCGAGTGCCAAACCCTGGTGCTGGCTGTCAAGGAGGAGGCTTACATCTGGGTGCTTCTCTGACGCACGCACACCCCAGCTCTGAGACACCCAGCTGGACACCCACTAAAGCCTGAGGGTCCTGCCCCAGCTGCCAGTAGGTGAAGAAGCCGCCCCTGTGGTCCAGGGGACAGTCCCAGGTCCACATTCTCAGGCTCAGGTTCAAGTCCCACCGGTCCATGTACCCAGGGGTGTCTGGGCAGCCTCACCTGCCTGCCGCTCAGACCTCGGCTCCTGTGCCTTCACCACGGGCTCCCCCACCTCGGTGCCCCCGCAAACCTTCTAGGAGGGATTGAGGGTACAGTCGTGGGGCCAAGGAGCAACGATGGCCGATTCCTGGAAGGACCCGGCTCTTCTCACGCTCCCAGAGAGGCCTCTGCACCCCCTCTGCCTGGCCGGCTTCTCCCCCAGGAAGCCACCACCTAAGGGCTGGTTGTTTCCGCCACCCAGATGGGGCCATTGCAGCATCTCTCCACGAATCAGCATTGCTGGCTCCAGCCCAGTTCCAAAGCTGATGCCAAATTAAATGTCAGCTGCTTCGAGGGTGGTTGGCTGCCTCCCCCGAAGGGAGCAGCACAGCTGAGTCTTACGCCAGACTCCGAATCTGTGTGCATTTACACTGCGTGTGTCAGCAACCGGGGGTGCCTTCTGAGAGCCAGTGTACGTGAGTCTGTGCACGGGCACGCCCGCGCGCCTGTCTCGGCTCTCATGTCTCCGGCTTTGCAGGGTCCCTGTCCTGTCAGCTGTCATCCACATGACCCTGAGTGAGGCCCGGAGCCTCCGATTCCTGGCGTTCACATGTGCGATGTGGAGGTGCTTAGAGCCTTCTTGGAAAGGTCACCAGGAAATGCAACACGGGTGCACATAACAGTACGCAGCACATGTGCCGACGGTGTGACAGGAGGGCCCCACTGTGCGGCGGACCCTGCACTGGGCGCCTCGGGCATTGTCAACACGTGGAACCTGCAGCACACCCCAGAGTAGGAGCCGGGGCGCACGCGTCGCTCACTGACTCTCTGTGTCTTCGGTTTCCAGTTCAGGACCTCAAGGGGCTCGGCTACGAGAAGGGGAAGCCTGTGGGTCTGGTGGGTGTCACAGAGCTGTCAGATGCCCAGAAGAAGCAGCTAAAGGAGCAGCAGGAGGTAAGGCCGCGGAGGACGGGGGACTGGGGAGCGTCCTCTGCCTCGCTGCAGTGCAGTGACCACGGATGCGTCCGTGTGCCCGCCGGGTCCTTGTATGCAGGCGGAGCCCACAATGACCGGGCAGGCTCCTGGGCAGGCAGGTGCTGCGGAGCTGTCAGTGGCATGCCACCTGCCAAGGGTAGTGGGGCCCAGGGCCTCGGGCCGCCTGGGAGGCACCGCACTCAAGGGCTTATCCCCACAGTGGGGTCCGTGTTTATATTTTCCTTCCATTGTTCCCTCCAGTGTCCGGTTCGGGATGGTCTTGGTTAGCACAGGCACCCCGAGGGGTCTGAGGCCGCCTGGTTGGTATTAGGCCATGTTGGTGGGAGGGCCTGGCTCCGCAGGGGGCCCTAGGCCAGGTGTGTGGCCTCTGCTGCCCATAAGGAGCTGCAGGCTCCTGCCTTTCGGTCCCCTCCTCCAGGCCTGCAGCCCTGTCACACCACCCTTGACCCTCCCAGGGATCAGGACCCCAGACCGCCCTTATTCAGTGGCCAAGTGACCCTCCATGCTCTGTGGGCACCGGGATGTAAGGAACCCAGGGCATGTCCTAACACAGGACTCAGTGCCTGCCGGAGCCTGCGACAGGGCCCTTGTTCACTGGTGTGCGCCATGCCCACAGATGCAGCAGATGTACGACATGATCATGCAGCACAAGCGGGCGATGCAGGACATGCAACTGCTGTGGGAGAAGGCGGTGCAGCAGCACCAGCACGGCTACGACAGTGACGAGGAGGTGGACAGCGAGCTGGGCACCTGGGAGCACCAGCTGCGGCGCATGGAGATGGACAAGACGCGGGGTAGGCCAGGCGTGGAGGCGCTGCGGGGTGGGGGGCTTAGGTGGGGTGGGGCCTTGCCCCTGGGGCACTGTGGGCCCAGGTGGTCCCCCTCACCCATCCAGGAAGGCACCTGGGTCTGGATCCTTCTGTCCTGGTTCAACCCCCAGCCTGCCTGCCCTGGCTGTAAGACTTGGTCTCTCTGTACCTCAGTTTCTTCAGGGGTGACAAGGGGGTGGTTCTGACCGACGGGGGTGGGGAGCTCGATGCACATTCACTGACATTTGAACAGAAGGCTTGGCAGGGGTTCCTGGGGGAGCAGGGCCTGGGTTGGGGTCACAGGCTAGCTACTTCCTTCCCGAGAGGCCACAGGCTCCCACTAAGACTCATGCCTGAGTCCTGGGAGCCACCTGGCCCGCTCCCCGCCTCCCATTGCTCCCTCTCACCTCCCCTCTCCCTGGGCAGAATGGGCTGAGCAGCTGACGAAGATGGGCCGGGGCAAGCACTTCATCGGAGACTTCCTGCCTCCGGATGAGCTGGAGAAGTTCATGGAGACCTTCAAGGCCCTGAAGGTGAGCAGGAAGGGCCCCAGCCCCAGCTCCTCCTGCAGCCGCTGTGTCCCGTGGGCATCTGAAGTGGCCTCGGGTACCCCCCCACGCACAGTAGGACCCTGGCCCTCTTGCTGCCGGAGGCATCTGTTTATGACAGACGCCGTCTGTGCAGGGAATTAGCAAAGAGCAGCTCAGCTGCCGCTTCAGAAACATTCCCTAGGGCTGTAGGGGGAAATTCTGCTTCCAGTGGAGCCAATTAAGTGCAGTTCTGGCTGAAGCCCCCACAGACTAGCCTCTCCAGAATGAGACCTTAACGTGCTGCCGGGCTCCTGGGGAGAGACGGCTGATGTGGCACATCCTGTGCTGTCTTTTTTTTTTTTTTTTTAATAGTAAAACTGTTTTGTATCCCATAACCTCATCTGACAAGGTGGTAACCCCACTGACCACATCTGTATGACAAATTGCTCTCAAAACACGAACATAGGGCTTTTCTTTGCCAGTGAATCCTCACTGTATCCCATGGTTGATAAGGCCTGTGGAATGTATCGTCTTGCCCCTTTTGACTTGGCCACCAGGGAGCTCGGTGCTAAGTCTGGTGCTGAGGCCCTGGGAACCTCTGAGAAGAACAAGGAGCTTGGTCTATTCTTAAGGACTCTGACCTGGCCAGAGGGAGGCAGATTGGGAGAGGGGGGTCGCATTTGTGGGTTGGAGCTCTGGCCCAGGGATAGCTACAGTCCTGGTGGGTGACAGCAGCCTCCTTGCCCTGTAGGAGGGCCGCGAGCCTGACTACTCAGAGTACAAGGAATTCAAGCTAACCGTGGAGAACATTGGCTACCAGATGCTGATGAAGATGGGCTGGAAGGAGGGCGAGGGGCTGGGCTTGGAGGGCCAAGGCATCAAGAACCCGGTTAACAAGTGAGTGCAGCCAAGCTCTGGAGGTCACAGGCTCCCCTGCCACTTCCCTGCCCCCACCCGGTTATGTTACACCTTTTTCCTTGTGGGCTCTTCCTGGGTGGTCACGGCACCCCACCGCACAGCCCTCAGCAGACACAAGCCAGCGGTGCAGGAGGCTGTGCGGGCCTGGTCCTCCTCAGCCCTGATCAGGCCCTCCTGGGGCCTGCTGGCTTCGCCTGCCTTGTGAAGGTCTTGTTTAAATTCCCCTTGAGCAGGAAACCAGTCCCAGAAACTAGCAACAACTCTCCCAGGCGTGACCCCTGGCTCTGAGGGCTGTACCCACCCTGCCCCACCCCCCCGGCTGCCCTTGGAGGCTGTCCTTGAGCAGTGCACACCTACAGCTGTGATAACCTACACTGTGGGCTTCTCCTTCCCGTGTGGGATGCTGGGGGCTGGGCCACCTTGGGTTCTTTCTTCCTCTCTCTTTTTTTTTTTCTCCTCTTTCCTCCTCTCTTGATGCAAGCTTGTCTCTGCCCAGATGTCCCCCAGCCCTGCCCAGGCCCCCAGGGTTAAGCTCCAGGAGGGGCCTCCCTGCCTGAAGTCCAGGCCCTGCATCCCCCTTTCCTCTGGCAGCAGCCCAGCCCCCTGCTCACACCGCCCTGTCCCCTCCCTGCAGGGGCACCACCACGGTGGACGGCGCCGGCTTTGGCATTGACCGGCCGGCCGAGCTCTCCAAGGAGGATGATGAGTACGAGGCCTTCCGCAAAAGGATGATGCTGGCCTACCGTTTCCGGCCCAACCCCCTGGTGCGTGGGCCCTGCTCCCCACCTGTCACTTCCAGCCGGGCTGCCCCTTCTTCTCAGTCACCAGTAGTGGGCGGTGGTAATAACAGAAGGGTCCCTTCCCTTCCCCAGCTCAGCTAGGCCGTGTCTCGCCAGTGACCCCTGCCATTCTGCCTGCATTCCAGCCCCTCTCCGATCCCTCAAGCCTGTCCCTGGAGTGTGAGCTCAGCTGCCCCTCGAAGGTTCTGGACAGGAGGAACTGCTGTCTCTCTTTAGCTTTAAGCCCCTCCCCTTTTTATCTTTTTTGCCTCCCATAGAATAATCCCAGGCGGCCTTACTACTGAGTGTTCTGGAGAAACACACCGACCGACCATCCCTGGACTGTGGAATGTTCCAGCCTGCATTTCTGCCCACCCCTCCTGTTGTCACAAGTGTCATGCTGTGATTTAAAGTCCCAGTGCTCACCCACTGCAGCAGCCTGGTCCTGTCATCGCCGGCAACCCCTCCAGTTCCTTAGCAGCGGGGCTGGGCCGGGCAGGTGGGGCCGGATGCTGTCTCGAGGGCTTCCCGCCACCTGACAAGTCCTAGAGCACTCCAGCCCCTTGTCTGCCCCGGTTGGGGGGAGGTCTCTGTCCCTGCTCCGTCTGGGTTGCAGTTGAGTGGAGGACCCTCAGAGCCCCCTCTGATGGAGAGAAAGGAGGCTTCTCTCGGGACAGTAAACCTGGAGACCTGGCCACGCCTAGGCCAGAGGGGTGTCAGGACCTCCCAGCCAAGCACTATGCCACAGGTGGAGGTTGGGGAGAGCTCTCCACGCAGGGTCCAGCTTTTGCCCTCAGACCTGCAGGGCACATGGCCTCAGGGCACACCTGTGCCCTCACCTTCCTGGCAGGCAGTTCAGGCAGGGCTCAGCACGCACACACCACAGCTAGCAGTGGTTGCAGCGGAGGCTGCCCCTCTTGCTGTGTGGTGGGCACGTGAGTCCCTGAGGCTCACGCCTTTGGGGGCAGCTGCACCATCCTGACACATCAGGCACTGCCTGGGGGAGGCAGCCTCCGAGCTGGAGGTTTTGAGGCAGGAGGGTGGCCCAGGCCAAGGTGTGGGCCAAGACTTCCCACGTTGTCCCAGGGCCAGAGCCTCAGACTTGTGCAGAAACCACCTGGGGGATCTGGTTCGGCTGCAGCTGCTGAGCCAGTGGGTGGGGCACAGCCCTGGGAATCTGCATTCCCTCCGGCTCTGCTGGCGTGCCAGCCGCTTTGAGTAGGCTGTCCCCACACACCCAGCGGGCGCTGCTGTTTGGGGGCCAGGGGCTTCCTATCCACAGGCTGTGGGGCCAGCCAGCACTCACAGTCGTTCAGCAAACACTGAGTGCCGACAGAGCCAGATGGACAGCATCTGCCCCCAGGTGGCCGGCCTGCTGGGCTGCAGGCTGAGGTGATCTCGAGCAGTGACGAATGCTGCCAAAAGAGCCAGGGTGCCGGGTGGAGATAGCTGGGGCGTGTGTCTTAACGGGGTCTTGGGACCAAAGAGGTTTAAGAGGCGGTGGCAGAGCTGAGGCTGGGGTGACAGGGCACCCTGTCACCCCTCCGTGGATGCTGGCTCTGAGCCAGGCCAAAGCACACTGGTGGGCTTGGCCCAGGTCCCCACGCATGGGCTACCGAGAGGGTAGTGGGCCAGGGCCCTCAGCATGGGGGTGTTAGCTCTGGGCAGCCAGTGGTTTGTGAGATGGGGGCCCTGGGGCTTAGTCTCAGACACCCAGCTATCTAAGTTGGCACTCTGCTCCCAGTGACCTGGAGGCTCACCAGGCACAGGGCACGGACTTTGCTCCCAGGGGTCGGGGGGGAAGGAGGCCTCCAAATGCTGTGTGCGTGTGCAGGTGTGTCCTGGGCCCGAGTGGGGCAGGGGTGGCCCGAGGGCTGGCTGGAGGAGGGACACTGAGACGACCTGCTTATGACAGGGTTTGTCTGGCAGACACAAAACAGGCCTGTGAATTATTGGCACCGCTGGAGTTGGGGAAGGTCAGCGTGAGGAACCTGAACTTTATCCCATGGGCGACAGGCATGTGGGGAAGCGATTGAGTCAGTCCGTTTGTGGTTTATGGCCCGGCTTGGACAGACCTGTTTGGCATAAGGCCAAGGCACTGCACGGAGGAGGGGCCCTGAGGGGAAGGGGGTTAGAATCTGTGCCCAACCGCAGGGTGTGGGCTGCCCCAGGGATGGGAGGGGAGCGGAGGTGAGCATGAGCCAGAGTCCAAGGCTGGTAGGAGGGGGTGACAGAGACGGCTTCCTGATTCTCTCCTCACGCGGCAGCCCCCTGCGGGTCCAACTCCTCTCTTTGCACTGCTCCCTGGAGCCTGCCCAGCCTCCTCCCAGCGGTTCAGAACCTTCCTGGCAGCTGCAGCTGCCTCACCTGGCACCACTCCCCAGCTCCGCGGGCCTCCTTCCTGCTGCTCAGCTCTGAGCCTGCGTCCCCCTGCCAGGAACACTGTTCCCAAACTCCGCCAAACTGGCTGCATCCCCACATGCTAATTTGAAGCCCCCTCCTCCTTAGGACCCCTTCATCTCACCCCCTTCCCTTGGGAATGACCTTCCCCCAACTCGGGCCGCCTGCGTTGAGACAGCCCCTCCCCCAGTTGAATCTTCCGGTGGGCCTGGCGCGGTGGCTCACGCCTGTAATCCTAGCACTCTGGGAAGCTGAGGCGGGCGGATCGTTTGAGCTCGGGAGTTCTAGACCAGCCTGAGCAAGAGCCAGACCCCCGTCTTTACTAAAAAAAAAAATAGAAAGAAATTGGCTGAAAGACCAGGTGCGGTAGCTCACGCCTGTAATCCTAGCATTCTGGGAGGCCGAGGCGGGCGGATCGTTTGAGCTCAGGAGTTCGAGACCAGCCTGAGCAAGAGCCAGACCCCATCTCTACTAAAAAGAGAAAGAAATTAATCGGACAACTAAAAATATATAGAAAAAACTAGCCGGGCATGGTGGCGCATGCCTGTAGTCCCAGCTACTCGGGAGGCTGAGGCAGGAGGATGGCTTGAGCCCAGGAGTTTGAGGTTGCTGTGAGCTAGGCTGACGCCTTGGCACTCTAGCCCCGGCAACAGAGCGAGACTCTGTCTCAAAAAAAAAAAAAAATGAAATCTTCCCGTGACCGCGACACGTGCTTAAGTTCCTCTGTGGCCATTGCGTGAAAACTCACATCTCAGCGCACTGAAGGGCATTTTGCGCCCAACCAGACGAGGTTCCTGCAACAGCCCGCAGGGGCAATGCCTGGCGTGGGGGAGGGAGTCTGGGCAATGTGGGAAGTTAAAAAAGGTCTGGGCGCCGTCCTTGACTTGAGACAAAGAAGGCAGAAGTGCAAAAGGAGACCTAAATAGCGGATTCCTTTAGAACGAAGTTGCTGGGGGAGCCCCGGGACCTCCAGGACGCAGCCCTTGGTCTGAGAGCGGAGCGGAAGCGTCCCGAAGTGTTGTTTCTCAGCCTTTGATAGAGAGGGAAACTGAGGCTGAGCAGCCGGCGGGGCCACCGGAGGGTGCACATGGGGAGCGGCGAAGGGGCGGGGCCTTGGAGGCTCCCCCGGACGCTGGGCGGTCAAGGCGGCCGCGGGCCCAGGACGCAGCTGGGGGCGACCTTTGCGCGGGGCGGGACCCTGGCAACTCCGGCCCGGACGCGCCTCCGCGGAGCAGCCGAGCGCCCTAGAGGCCGCGCCAGGGCCGAGCCGGGGTCCCGGCGGCGCAGCCATGGACATCCCGCCGCTGGCCGGCAAGATCGCGGCGCTGTCGCTCGGCGCCCTCCCGGTGTCCTACGCGCTCAACCACGTCTCGGCGCTCTCGCAGTGCGTGCGGGGAGGGGCGGCGGGAAGGACCGGAGGGGGCTGCAGGGAGGACGCGCGGGTGACCGGACCCCGCGGTCCCTGCGCCCCCGCCCAGCCCCGACCCACCCGGGAGGATGGGGGCTGGGCTACAAGTGTTCCCACCTCTAACCGGAAGTCCCCTTCCTGCAGGGGTTGCAGGCGCTCTTAGGATGTTTGGGATCTGGGTAGAAGGGATGTTGAGGAGCAGAGCCTCCGAGGGCAGGACTTTGGAGGGTTTCTGGGTATTTCCCAGAGATGTGCCCAGCACAGGTTCCAAAGTCGCCAAGGGTCAAAGTATTGTCCCAGATAAGGTCCCAGTGTCACACATGCCCTGCTCCATCGCTTCTACCTCAGGCCTGGGACTTTCTTCCAAACCCAGCTCAACTCAAGCCATGGGGTAGTATCTTGACCACCGGCCTGGCTCCCCTGGGTAGGAATTCCTGTCTCCATCTCCTGGGACCCTGGGTAACCCAAGTTGCCTCTGGAACCTCAGTTGCTTCATCTGTGGAATGGGCACAATCCTAGATCTCATCCCATAGTTATGGCTAAGGATTGCCAATTGTGTCCTGATCTTATCTGAGTACTATAATTGTCATTGTTGGTCAGATGGGACTGATATGGAGATCTTAGGGGCAGAGGGGTTCGTGAGAAGGTGGGGCCCTGGAGAGTGTGGGGAAGTGATGTGTGACACTCCTGCCCTCTCTGAGCCTTGGTTTGCCCACTTGTGTTGAGGGATGCCCAGAGACCTGTTAGCTATACAATGAGTCGACCTGTCTTATCAGTTAATGGGGAAAGATCGAGGCAGCGGGAAGGTGGAGTTGATGGAGGCATTTGGACTTTAGCTGGGAGGAGTTGGGAGCCTCTGTAAGGTCTACAGAACTGAACACTAGAAACCCTCCAGTATAGGAGCTGGGCCTGGCCACAGAGGGGCTTGGTGTTGTTGAATGACTGACTGAACAAACTGAGTCAAACACGAATCAGCAAATGATGGGATAAACATCTCTGTACCTGGCCAAAGCTAGGCAATGATCCCTTCTGGGGTGTCAGGGAGGGCTTCCTAGAGAAGGAACAATGGAGATGGGCCATGAAGGATGAGTAGGAGTTTGCCAACTGGAAAAGACTTTTGGAAGTTTTTTTCAGAAGGGAGAAACAGTGTGAGCAAGAGCAGTTTCAGGGATGGCATTGATGGACAGACAGTTGAGCGTCATCTCCTGGAGCTTCCTGGAGCCTGCCCTTTCCCCCACCAGGAAGGCTGGGGTGAGGCCTCAGCACGAGGCCTGGTCTCCCTGACTTGGTTTCCCTCCCCACAGCCCGCTGGCGGTGGCATTGATGAGTGCCCTGATCCTAGGCGTGCTCTTCGTGGCTATCTACAGCTTGTCCCATGGCGAGATCTCCTACGACCCACTCTACGCTGGTGAGTCAGTGGGAGGCCATGGGGAAGAAGACTGTCTGGGCCTCCACCATCAGACTTGGGGCCATTGCAGAGCCTCCTCCATCAGACTGTAGTCCTTTAAAGAGCTCCCATCAGGCTAGAGACCTCAAAGAGACTAGAACACCCCCATTAGGTTGGGGAACCTTGAAGAGCCTCCCCCTTCAGACCTGGGGCTCCTGAGAACAGGGACTGCATCTCCCCCATCAGACTGGCAGCCCCTGAAAGACTGTCCCTTTCCGTCACTCTGAGATCTCCCGAGGGCAGGGACAGTGCCTCTCCCATGAGACGGGGGCCCCCAAAGGCAGGGACTGTGCACCGCCGCCAGACCAGGGACTTCTGAGGGCCAAGCTGTGCCTCCTCCATCAGACATGTAGAATGAAGCAGGGCTGTGGTCATGTAACCAGTTGGGTGGGGCAAGGGACTGGGCCTGGAGTCCTTGCCTGGAATCTTTTTTTTTTTTTTTTGAGACAGAGTCTTGCTCTGTTGCTAGAGTGCCGTGGTGTCAGTGCTCTGGGCTAGAGTGCCGTGGTGTCAGCCTAGCTCACAGCAACCTCAAACTCCTGGGCTCAAGCGATCCTACTGCCTCAGCCTCCCGAGTAGCTGGGACTACAGGCATGCGCCACCATGCCCGGCTACTTTTTTCTATTTTTAGTTGTTTGGCTAATTTCTTTCTATTTATAGTAGAGACAGAGTCTTGCTCTTGCTCAGGCTGGTCTGGAACTCCTGAGCTCAAGCAATCCTCCTGCCTTGGCCTCCCAGAGTGCTAGGATTACAGGCGTGAGCCACCGAGCCCCGCCTGGAATCTTAAATCAACTTCAAGCCCCGCCTTATAGCTGGCTTGAGCCCGCCTATGCCTAAACCCCGCCCACACATGACCCCGGCCCCACCCACGCCGGATCCCCACCCACCCCTGGCCCCGCCCCGCCCCCTCTCCCCGCAGTCTTCGCGGTCTTCGCTTTCACCTCCGTGGTGGACCTCATGATCGCCCTTCAGGAAGACGGCTACGTGGTGGGCTTCATGGAGTTCTACACCAAGGAGGTACGCGGTGGCGGGGGGGCGGCTGGGGATGTCCCTTGCCCCACTGCCGGTCTGAGCATCGCACCTGCCCGCACAGGGCGAGCCATACCTGCGCACGGCGCACGGAGTCTTCATCTGCTACTGGGACGGCACCGTTCACTACCTCCTCTACCTGGCCATGGCCGGCGCCATCCGCAGGAGGTGCGGGGGATGAGCGGGGTGGCTCCTGACCCTGGGAGAGAAGTCAAGACCTCAGGTGGGGTCCTGGGCCAGGGTGGAGCCAGAGGTGTCTGTAGGGGAAATCGGGAGGGCTTCCTCTAGGGCTCCAGCCAGGGGTGGCTGGGAGAAGGTTCCAGGGAATGCCATCAAGGGTGTGTGCTGGTGGCCGGTCATTGCTTGTACCCACCCTGTGCCTGGATGGATTCCCCAGTTCAACTCTCCGTTGTCCCTTCCATCCTGGGCAAAACCGAGAGGAAGCTGGGGAACCCAGGCTGGTCCCTGGGCCCTGGCTGGGGCTCTGAGTCTGGGGGCGGCTACCTGCTGATCACCCCTCGATCCCCTGCCCAGGAAGAGATACCGGAACCTTGGACTCTACTGGCTCGGATCCTTTGCCATGAGCATCCTGGTGTTCCTCTCGGGAAACATTCTGGGTAAGGACTCAGCTTTGGGGAATCCTGTCCCCCTTGGGCAGCGCCATTTCCCTGCTGCCCCCCGCGTTGGATCCTCCATCCCCTCCTCGGAGTCTGCAGAGACCCCCTCCTCTCCATAGGCCTGTCCACAGCCTCAGTCAGCAGCCTACACCTCTATGCCCCATCTCCTCTCGGAGGTGGGGAGGAGCCCAAATTCTGCTTCCTGCGCCCGATACTGGTCTCTGAGCCCAGAAGTTTGGCCCAGAATGCCCTTGACACAGGAAGGGAATTTTACAGTGGCTCCTAGGGAGAGAGTGAGAGCGTCACAGTAGGTCTTGGGGGACAGAGCAGAGAAGACAATCCTGGATGTTGGCCTGGTGTGGCAGAGCCCGGCAGAGGAAACACCCGAGGTGTATCCACAGGGAGCACAAGAAACGGCTAGAGTAGATCTGTATTCAGAAGATAAATCAAAGCAGGCCAGGCTGAGGAGCATGGACACCACCTTGTGGGCACTGGGGAGCCATGGAAGGTGTTAGAGCTTGAGCAAGGATGTATTTGTGAATCAAGATATCCAGCCAGGGCTCTGGCATGGCCCAAATAATGGGTCCAGCCAGGCCAGGGAGACCCTTGCCGAGTGATGCCCTCTCTCCCCCGCCACGGCAGGCAAGTACAGCTCCGAGTTCAGGCCCTCCTTCTTCCTCACCTTCCCCTACGTGCTGGCCCCATGCTGGGCCGGCATGAAGGTCTTCAACCAGTCCCGGGCGCCGCCCTCCTGCACCCCCACCATGGTGAGTGCCCCCCGGCAGGCCTTGTCCCAGCGTGCCTGCGTGTCCCCCATTTGGTTAAAGAATTTGTCTCCTTGGTCATGAGGCAAGAAGGGAGGAGCCTTTATGGAGTGCCTGTTGGATGCCAGACCTCTCACGCTGTCTCTGTCTCTTGTGCCGTCTCTGTCTCTCTCTCCCATGGGGCAGGTGCAACAGGAGCAAAGAAAGGGCCTCCTGCAGCGCCCGGTGGACCTGGCCCTTGTCACATACCTCATCCTTGCTGGCTTCTTCACCCTGTTCCGGGGCCTGGTGAGTCTGCGCTGTGCAGCCCCCGCCTCCCCGTCTCCAGCCTCCCTTCCCCAACCCACCGCTGCTGCACGTGCAGAAAAGCCACTGCCCTTCTGTCTAATCACCCAAGGAAGTTCTTCATCAAGTCTGACCTGAGTGTTCCATGACAAAGCCCCATTCCCTATAACCTTCTCTCCAGCCAGAGGGACAGAGCCTGGGCTGAGAGAGGCCAGAGGAAGGGGTGCTGTCCCTGCCCAGGAGCGTTGGGGAGGCTTCCTATAAAAGAGATGTCTGAGGTGGGTAGTGGTTTTGTCTTTCTGCCCCAGGTGGTACTTGACTGCCCCATGGATGCCTGCTTTGTCTACATCTACCAGTATGAGCCATACCTGCGGGACCCTGTGGCCTATCCAAAGGTGCAGGTGAGAAGGCAGATGGAAGGAGAGGGCCCTACTCCTACCTGTAGGTAGGGGTGAAGTGCCAAAAGCACAAATGGAATATATTATCCTACCAAAAAAAAAATATAGATATGGTCTTCAGGTATGGCTGGATCCAGGAGCTCTAGGAGAGCTCTGTCTCTGGGCTCTGCTTTCTTTGTCTGGCTCCACTCTCAGGCAGTCCCTTTGTGGGGTGGAAGGGACAGCCTAGGGAAGCTCTAGGCTGCCATTCACCTGGAGGAACCACCAGCCACCCCAGAGCAACATGAGCCCTTACTGCCCCAGACCTTATGCACAAGTCTCAGGCAGGCTTGGACTGACCCAGCCTGAGTCACATGCCCATTACTGGTCATTATGGCCAAGGGGCTGGAATGTTCTGAATGGTCAGGCCAGGCTCACGTGCCACTTCTGGAAAAAGGTGGGTGGGCTCAGTTTGTGTGTATGTGAGGGAGTTGGGGGCAGGGATCCCCAAGGAAAACAGAGAAGCACTTTGCAGAGGACCTGAGTGGGGCCTGAGGCTGCCCAGATCCTCCCTTGGGCCCACCAGCTGGGTTAGCCGTTCATCTGATAGACTGTGTCCTTCCCACACTCCCCCAACAGATGCTGATGTGTATGTTCTACGTTCTTCCTTTCTATGGCTTGGCCACCTATGCCCTCACCTTCCCTGGTTGCTCCTGGCTGCCCGACTGGGCCTTGGTCTTTGCTGGAGCCATTGGCCAGGTGAGGTGGGAGGTGGGGGGTGAGTGGGTGAATAGGCATGTAGGGGAGGTAGTTTCTCCCTAGCCATCAACTGCTTTTCTGTTTTCCCTGGGCAGTGCAGTGACAGTCCCCCAAGAGACCGCAGCCCCAGGCCCAATACTCCAGGATTCTCTTGTGTGGGGGACACAGAGCCACATACAGAACTGGGGTCAGAAATGGGAGAGAAGGAAGGACAGGGGCTGAGAGGTATTCCAGAGGGGAAAAGTTTCCTAGAAGCAGGGGTATAGCAGCTGGGCTTTGACATATGAAGATGAGTTCTCCAGGCAAGGAAGGACATTCCAGGAACAAGAACAGCATAAAGAAAGGCACAGAGGGGGGCAGTGATTTGGCAGGGCTGTAATGTGGGTAAAGGCAGAGATAAGAGAAATTGGCAGCTAGATAGTGAAAGCTTTGAACTCTGGGATTGGAGGCTTGTGCTGAGGGTAATAGGGAGCCATGGGGGGATTGTATGAGCAGTGGAAGGCCTGTTCAGAGTTGGGGGCCTGTTTACGGGTTCCTGATGGAAAGGGCTAAAGCCTGCGCCCAGGCCAGGGCACTAGGGACCAGGAAGCCATCTATGGGGTAGAATCAACGAGATTTGTGTCAAGAGCTCTGGGTAGGGACGACTGGGAAGAGAAGCGGATCCCAGGTCAGAGAGATGGGGTGCAGGACTTGGCAGACAGGTGAAGATGGGTCTTCTGGTTAGGTAGCTGGGGAGAGGCTCAAAGACAGGTGGACAAGGACAGAGAGGGACAGACAGGACGTGTGGGGACAGGAATATTTGGAGACTGGAGAGGAGAGACAGGTAGGTTAGCAAAGCCAGCAAGATAAGGATGGTGATCTTCTGGGCTTTGCCTGACTGCTGTCTGGAAGACCCCCGCGGGGGATGTCAGTGACACTGGGACTTCAGTCCCCTCCTGGCCCTGACATCCCCCTTTCCTGTCTGGCGACCAGGCTCAGTTCTCGCACATGGGTGCTTCCATGCACCTGCGCACGCCCTTCACCTACCGTGTGCCCGAGGACACCTGGACCTGCTTCTTCCTGTGCAACCTGCTGTATGCGTTGGGCCCCCACCTGCTGGCCTACCGCTGCCTGCGGTGGCCCGCTTTCTTCCTGCAGCCACCGCCCTCCGGACCCCCAGCGCACCATAAGAAGCAGCAATGAGGAGGCCATGGGGCTCCCCAGAACTCTGTTTACACACCCAGCTGGCCCTGCCCTGCGAAGGGTGGGGTGGGTTTTTTGGAGGCAGGAGGGACGTCTCCAGGTGTCTTCAGTCCTGGCTTTGGTGGTTCGAGGCCAGTGGGTAGGATGGGAGACCGATGGCCAGGTGTTCCTGCAAAGAGAGCCTCGCACAGCTGTCACCACGCCCCGACCCCCACACGGACTCTTCCACCCCCTCCCAGAATTTATCCATCATCCCCGCAAGGGTCCTTTTAGTAAAAATACTTTTGATGTCCAAAATGTTGCTGCCTGAGTGTTTCAGGGCACAGGAGTGAAGGACCTTCTCCCTGGACCTCACGAGAGCCTACCCATCACTGCTATAGTGGCTGTCGCGAGACAAAGGTGTCAGAATAGCAGAAGCGAGCCTCTGGTTGGGGTACACAGCTGCACCTTCCAGATAGGGAAAACCGAGGCCCAGGATGGACAGGAGACCTGCCTAAGGTCAGAGTTAGGAGAGAAAAGTCCCTGCTCTGCCAATAAATCATAACTAATAGCATAGCATAGTTAACAAATACCATGCCGAGGGCACACCTCAAGTGCTGTGTACTGAATCTCACCCCATATTCCAGATGGGGAAAGTGAGGCTGGGGAGACAGCCAAGGGGCTGGGGGAAGGGCCTCACCCCTTCCTGGTTTTTGATTTTTGAAAGTGGGTGAAAGGCCAGGTTTCGGGGGTGACTGGGTCAGGGGCTTGACCAGACGTCCCTGCTCCCTGCCCTACCAACACTTACCAGGTCGTACCGTATGTCTGGCCATTGGACCTGCACCACAGAACCGGCAGTCCGCTTCCTGGGGGTGGAAACAGGCTCAGGGAGGCAAACCATCTCCTCCAAGGTCCCACAGCCAGTGAGGGGCCCTGTTGGATTTGGACCGGTGGCTCCAGGTCCCGTAGGCAGAGTGTGATCATTGTGGGGCCCCCATCCTGCAGAGTGAGCACTTTTTGGGTGCTGGAGCCCAGGACTCCACAATGGTCACCCAGTGGACAGATGGGTAAACTGAGGCTTTCAGGCCAATCCCTTTAACCAGGTCACTTGGCCCTCCTGCTAAAGCCGGGTAACCAATATGAAAGACTGGGGACTCCATCAGCTGCCTCCTCCCCCTCCATTTTAAAGATTATTAAATCAATTAAGGTTCAGAGAGGTTCTTCCCTTGCCTAAGGTCAGCCAGCAGGGACATTCCTGGCTCTGCACTCAAAGTCCAGAGCGGGCCTTCCTCCGTCCACGCACCGGGCCACCTCTCCGCGGAGCAGTGGGCCTCCGCGTCCCCTTTAACGCCCCCCCCCGCCCGCCTCCCTCCTCCCCTTGCAGGCAGACGCCGGGATTGCGCCGCCTGCAGGGACCTGCCCAGTCCTTCCCCGGTGTGCGGAGCGCAGTCCGGGCGCGTAGGGGCCGCTCGCCGGGGGCGCGAGGGCACGATGGTGAGTGGGGCACGGGCGCAGGGCCCAGGCAGGTAGTGGGTCCCGGTGTCCCCGATCTGGGATTCTGTCTCCGTGTCTGAGAATCGGTGTCCCTCCGTGTGTCTCGCCGTCTCTGTCTCTCCCTTCTCTGCTGTCTCTCACCGTCTTGTGTTTCTCTCTCTTTCTGGTACTCTCTCCGAGTTCTCTCCCTCTCTGTCTCTCCATCTTTCTCTCTCTCCCTCTCTCTCTTTCTCCCGTTTTTCTCTCCTTCTCTGTGTGTCTCTCTTTCCCTACCTCTCCCTGTCTCTCCCCCCTCTTCTCCTGGCCCCTCTCCCTCTCCGTCTCTGTCTCTGTCTTCCCTTCCCCTTCTCTGCGTGCGCACTCTCTTCTCTGTCCCTCCTGCTTTCTCTCCGTCCCTGTCCCCTCTCCGTGCGTCTCTCCAGCTCCCCGCACCCTGCGAGCGCTTTGCTGCAGTCTCCTGGCGCACGGATAACCTTGCTGCCGCCGCTCCAGCTCCTCCCCCATCCCAGCCGGGCGGGCCGGAGGGGGAAGGAGGGGGGCTCCGAGCCTTGGGTGTTGGGGGTCCAGGGTCAGGCGGGAAGCCGAGGCAGGACTCAGGGAGGGCAGCCCAGGGGCGTGGGCTTCGCGCAGGAGCGAGGGTGAGGTCCCTGGAGGGTGCGGGATAGGGGGATGACTTCCAGTCTTCTCCTTTGGAAGGGGGGGTCTTTGAGACCCCGGCCAGGGTGGGGACCTGGGTGTGAGAGAGGTCCTGGCCGAGGGGAGGGCGGGCCGGGGAGCCGGTCTTCTGGAAGGCAGAGGCTGGGAGGCTAGACTGAGCGCCGTGTGCCCCCAGGTGTGCGCTCGGGCGGCCCTCGGTCCCCGCGCGCTCTTGGCGGCGGCCTGGGGAGTTCTGCTGCTCACTGCCCTCACAGGGGCGCAGCGTGGCCGGAAGAAGGTCGTGCACGTGCTCGGTGAGTCAGGGCCACCGAAGCAGGTCTTGCCCCGCGGGAGCCGTGGCCAAGATTGATCACTCGGGTGCGGGGAGGAGGAGGAGGGAGGAGGTTCCTGACCGCCACGGTCCCCCCAGCTCCTCTGCATCTGAGCCCCTTGCCCCCTCCCTGAGCCGCTGACCCCACCCAAGTCTTCCCACATCCTTTCTCCAGGGACCTCTTCCCCAGGGTCCCCCTTCCTTCCCTAAGCCCCCTCTCTGAACCCTGCCTGGTCGCCCGCAGAGGGTGAGTCAGGCTCGGTGGTAGTACAGACGGCGCCTGGGCAGGTGGTAAGCCACCGGGGTGGCACCATCGTCTTGCCCTGCCGCTACCACTACGAGGCAGCCGCCCACGGCCACGACGGCGTCCGCCTCAAGTGGACAAAGGTGGTGGACCCCCTGGCCTTCACCGACGTCTTTGTGGCCCTGGGCCCCCAACACCGGGCATTCGGCAGCTACCGCGGGCGGGCCGAGCTTCAGGGCGATGGGCCTGGGGACGCCTCCCTGGTCCTCCGCAACGTCACGCTGCAGGACTATGGGCGCTACGAGTGCGAGGTCACCAACGAGTTGGAAGATGATGCTGGCATGGTCAAGTTGGATCTGGAAGGTGACCAGCCCGCGGGCAGGAGGAAGCTTACTTTTAAGGGAGGACAGGGTGGGGGAAATTGCAAGGGACAGAAACCAAATCAATTTGGCCTGAAGGAACTTAGGGGCTCGCCTAGATGTGATTGAGGGTGACTTTGCTCCCTAGGGACATTGATAGTGTCTGGAGACATTTTAGGTTGCCCCACGTGGAGAAGTGGGCTGCTACTGGCATCTAGTGTGTAGAGGCCAGGGACAGTCCCTCACAGCCAAGAATGATCCAGTCTGAAATGTCACTAGCGGGGTCCTTGAGAAATCCTGGGGTAGGATCCAGGCACAATGACATGCACAATGACATGCACACCATGTCGGAAACCCATCCCTCATCTCTGCTTCCCTGAGGCAGGTTTCCCCTTATGGAGCCAAAAACAGTTCCAGGCTTTCAACTTCCCAGCTTAGCAACTGATTTCCTAAGAGCATCAGCTAGAGTCCCAGAGTTGTCCTTCATTGGCCCAGCTTGAGTCATGTGCCCAAGTGGGAGCCAATGGCTGCAGCTCAGAGATGGGATGCTCTGATTGGCTGCCCATGGAGCTGGGAGGTAAGATTTCTATCTGAGGAATTCCCTCCCACTTGGTTTGCCTTCCTCAGTCCACCCTAGAAGTTTCTAGGAGAGATTTCAGGGCCTTCCCTTGCTGGACTCCCTAACTGGTACAAATGACAACAATAATAGCAGCAGCTCTCCCAATAAAGAGCGTTTTCTATGCGACAGGTGCTTAGCTGAAGAGTTCTCTGGAGTATCATTTAATTTCCCCCAGACCCTGAGGGAGACAGCTATTACCAGCAAGTGGGCGACTGGCTCAGGGAGGCTATAGAGCCCTGCCCCAGGCACGTGCTAGTGAGTGGCAGAGCCAGGATTCAGTCCCCGGTCTGTCAGCTCCAGGCCTGGCCCCTGACTGCCTCTGTCCTGGGTCTGCTGAGTGTCCCAGCTCACCCCAAGCCCTGGCCCTCAAACACAGACACACAGAATGCTCTTGAGCTGAGCCGACTGTGAGCCCAGTGAGGGACCAGATCCAGAGTCATAAAAACTGAAGGTGGAAGGGACACCAATGGGTACTGCACTGGGCAATGCTGGGGGATTAAAGGGGTCTTCTTCCAGGGGCTCCCAGTCTGGGGAAGTCTGGATACAGACATTCGCAGCTCTGTGGGCTCAGGGTTAGACTAGAGAGAAAGACCCAGTACTGGGGGAATGTCAGAGGCAGGGCAGACTGAATGGAGGAGAGTTTGGGAGCTGGGTTTTGAAGGATGAATAGGAGTTCAACAGGTGGAATAGATTGGAAAAAACATGAGCAAAGGTCTCCAGTGGCGGAAGAGGGGTGGACAAGATTAAGTACGTTAAGGAGACAGGTCAAGTGAATCCCAAGCTTAAGGGAAAGGGAGCCAGCCATAAGGGTATGAGCTGGGGAGGTGCATAGTCAGGTCTGAGGCCAAAGGGAGGGATAGATTAGAATGTCCAGCTTGAAAAGTCACGTGGCACCCCAGATATCAGGTGTATGGGGGCGGGCTGGGATGCCCAGGCTGATCCCCGTGCGCCCCCCCATCCCCAGGCGTGGTCTTTCCCTACCACCCCCGTGGAGGCCGCTACAAGCTGACCTTCGCGGAGGCGCAGCGCGCCTGCGCCGAGCAGGACGGTATCCTGGCCTCCGCTGAGCAGCTGCACGCGGCCTGGCGTGACGGCCTGGACTGGTGCAACGCGGGCTGGCTGCGCGACGGCTCCGTTCAGTACCCGGTGAGCCAGCCCCGGGAGCCCTGCGGCGGCCTAGGTGGCGCCGGGAGCGCGGGGACCAGCGGAGGCGCCAACGGGGGCGTGCGCAACTATGGGTATCGCCATAACGCTGAGGAACGCTACGACGCCTTCTGCTTCACGTCCAACCTCCCGGGTGCGTAGGCCCCGCCCCCAGACGGGTCGCTACCCCACCCCACCCCCCTCCCTCCAACCCCCGACCCCGGGCCCTTCTTCCCCACCCAGCTCTGGGCGATTGGAAACAGGAGACCCCTCTCTCCAGACTGCCACAGCGCAGCAGTCGAAAATCGCCAGACACCAACACCGCCCTGGCCCGAGGGTGGGGTCCCGGGCTGCACTGGAGCTGCGATCCCGCGGCTGGAGTCCTGGGCTGGGGTTGGGGGGCGTCCTGAATCGCGGGGCCAGTCGGGGCAGCGGTCCTTACAACCCGCCCCCCTCCCACCCCTCAGGCCGCGTGTTCTTCCTGAAGCCGCTG